CCCGTCCCTGAGCAGTGACCAGCCCCTCCCGACCAATTCCCCATAGTTTATATACTGGGCATGTTGTCATGTGGTATGGAATAGTCTTTTAGCCAGTTTCGGTCAGCTGTCCTGGCTCTGTCCCCTCCCAACTTCTTTTACCCCTCCAGCCTTCTTGCTGGCTGGGCATGAAAGGCTGAAAAGTCCTTGACTTAGTATAAACACTACTTAGCAAGAACTAAAAACATCACTGTGTTATCAACATTGTTCTCATACTAAATCCAAAACATAACACTATACCAGCCACTAGGAAGAAAATTAACTCTATCCCAGCCAAAACCAGGACAGCAGCTTGAGCAGCACTTTGGGGACACTGTCCCAGATGTCCCAGGCTGTCACTCTCCCTACCTCCTATCTTGGCTTGTCTGAGTGCAGGGAGTGTGGAGTCCTGCCCTGCTTCCAGCCCTTTGAGGGGGCTGGACTGGGCTGTGGGAAGAACTGGTTCAGATGGTGAGGTGCTCATGTCCTGCAGGAGTCCAACGGCCCCACGGATGCCTATGCAGCCATAGCCAAGGCTGACCGGCTGACCCAGGAACCTGAGAGCATCCGCAAGTGGAGGGAGGAGCAGAAGAAGCGCCTGGAGGAGCTGGGTGAGACCCAAGGCTGCGTGTGGCCATGCTTGTGGCACCTCGTGACATGGCAGTCGGGGATCTTGGGGTCTCTCACCTGGTGGTGACCCTGCTGCATCCCAGAGGGGTGTCTCGTGTCCCACGCTGTGTGGGTGCCCCTGCTAAAGATCTGCTATCCTTGGGAAAGCAATGCCTTTCAGACAGTGCTAGTGGGACAGGGGACAGGCTGGGGGGGCTGCGGCTGTCCTGCCTGCCTAGGGGCTGCCCAGCAGACCCAGTGGGTGCCAGTCTGGCTGATGGGGTTTGTTTTGCTCTGGCCTTAGATGAAAAAAAATGGCGTGAGAAGGCCAAGAAGGACCTGGAGGAGTGGAACCTGCGTCAGAATGAGCAGATGGAGAAGAACCGGGCAAACAACAGGTATGTTGGAGTCAGTGTGGCTATGAGGACTGTGACAAGAGCTGCTGTGCATCCAGATCTGCCTTCCTAGGATGTCTGGGGGCCTCTTCCCCCACAGTGGGGCCCAGCCCTGCAGGGATAGAGCTTTGCCAGGCAAGGGGAGAGGCCTCTGTGCTTCGAGCAGCTCCGGTGGCTGTGCAGAGTCACCCTGGCTGGGACCACACTGGGATCACCCTGGGATCTCAGTGCCTCCTACCCCCCATGTGGGCCTCACATCGAGGCAGGGTTGAGGCACTGTCTGTGCAGCCCTGCCGTCACTGGCAGGGTTTTCTGGACCTGGTGCCAGATATGCTGTGATGAATGGGTCACACTCTGTGGTAGGACGCTAACCTGCTCTCTGTTTCTCTCTTTCTAACCCTCTGCCTACCTGTCTGCTCTGCGCTCTCTCTCTCTCTGTGCCTCGGGGGCTAGGATCGCTGACAAAGCCTTTTACCAGCAGCCGGACGCCGATGTGATTGGCTATGTGTACGTGCCTCTTACAGACCGTATCCTGCCCCGCGGGGTCTGGGGGTCTTGGCCCCAGCACTTGGCTGCCCAGCCAAGGGAAGGGGGGATGCTGGGAGGTACTGGGCCCTGGTGAGGTCCCACAGGGAAGATGATGCAGCTGAGTGTCTTCAAATGGTGAAGTCTTCGGAGACAAGTGGAGCTCCTGGAAATGCCCCTGTGGGGGCTGGTTGAAGAGGCAAAGCCATGAGGTCTTGTGCCTTTTTGGGGACGGCTGTAGGGGTGGAGAAGTCTTGGGAGCAGGCAGACACCCCAGTGCCCAAGGATGAGCGATGTCTTGGGTGAGTGCAGCCAACAGCAGGCTTGAGCACCCTCTGTCTCTGGATCCCAGAGGACACTGAGCTCATTGGCTGGAGCAAGGAGACGGGAAGTGGGGACACGAGGGGTTCCCAAACAGAGGGGAGGGTCTCCTTGGAAAAGGTTCTGCTAGTGACAACCCTCAATGTCTCCACAGGGCCTCGGAGGAAGCATTCCTGAAGGAGTCCAAGGAGGAAACCCCAGGCTCCGAGTGGGAGAAGGTGGCCCAGCTCTGTGATTTCAACCCCAAGAGCAGCAAACAGAGCAAGGATGTCTCGCGGATGCGCTCAGTGCTCATCTCCCTCAAACAGACGCCCCTGTCCCGCTAACTGCCGCCTGGCACAGCCGGGAGCGCAGCAGGGCAAGGCCAGGCTCACCAAGCTGGGCGGCTTCATGGGGCCAGCCCAGGAGAGGCTTCACCCTGCCTGCCCCCTGCTCCCTGCTGTGCACCTCGGCTATGCTCGAGTCACTGGTTGTAACTCTCCCCATGGTTTTCCTTTGCTTAAAAGGTGCATCGGTCTATTTTTACACTTATTTATTACTGTGGCATTTCCCCGGAAAGCAACACTGGGTGGCAGAGCTGAATTAGTGGGGGAGCCCCTGGCCTGGGCTCTGCGGATGGTTGTGCCCAGGGGCCTGGCTGAGTGAGAAGGGGAACGCCCCACCCCGTGTTCCCCACC